TGTTGTTTTACAGACTGGAGACAGATTGCTGTGTTGTCTTACAGACTGGAGACAGATTGCTGTGTTGTCTTACAGACTGGAGACAGATTGCTGTGTGTTGTCTTACAGACTGGAGACAGATTGCTGTGTTGTTTTACAGACTGGAGACAGATTGCTGTGTTGTTTTACAGACTGGAGACAGATTGCGTGTTGTCTTACCAGACTGGAGACAGATTGCTGTGTTGTTTTACAGACTGGAGACAGATTGCTGTGTTGTCTTACAGACTGGAGACAATTTTGTGTTGTCTTACAGACTGGAGACAGATTGCTGTGTTGTCTTACAGACTGGAGACAGATTGCTGTGTTGTCTTACAGACTGGAGACAGATTGCTGTGTGTTGTCTTACAGACTGGAGACAGATTGCTGTGTTGTTTTACAGACTGAAGACAGATTGCTGTGTGTTGTCTTACAGACTGGAGACAGATTGCTGTGTGTTGTCTTACAGACTGGAGACAGATTGCTGTGTGTTGTCTTACAGACTGGAGACAGATTGTTGTGTTGTCTTACAGACTGGAGACAGATTGCTGTGTGTTGTTTTACAGACTGGAGACAGATTGCTGTGTGTTGTTTTACAGACTGGAGACAGATTGCTGTTGTTGTTTTACAGACTGGAGACAGATTGCTGTGTGTTGTTTTACAGACTGGAGACAGATTGCTGTGTTGTCTTACAGACTGGAGACAGATTGCTGTGTTGTCTTACAGACTGGAGACAGATTGCTGTGTTGTTTTACAGACTGGAGACAGATTGCTGTGTTGTTTTACAGACTGGAGACAGATTGCTGTGTTGTTTTACAGACTGGAGACAGATTGCTGTGTTGTCTTACAGACTGGAGACAGATTGCTGTGTGTTGTTTTACAGACTGGAGACAGATTGCTGTGTTGTCTTACAGACTGGAGACAGATTGCTATGTTGTCTTACAGACTGGAGACAGATTGCTGTGTTGTCTTACAGACTGGAGACAGATTGCTGTGTGTTGTCTTACAGACTGGAGACAGATTGCTGTGTTGTCTTACAGACTGGAGACAGATTGCTGTGTGTTGTTTTACAGACTGGAGACAGATTGCTGTGTTGTCTTACAGACTGGAGACAGATTGCTGTGTTGTTTTACAGACTGGAGACAGATTGCTGTGTTGTCTTACAGACTGGAGACAGATTGCTGTGTGTTGTTTTACAGACTGGAGACAGATTGCTGTGTGTTGTCTTACAGACTGGAGACAGATTGCTGTGTGTTGTCTTACAGACTGGAGACAGATTGCTGTGTGTTGTCTTACAGACTGGAGACAGATTGCTGTGTTGTCTTACAGACTGGAGACAGATTGCTGTGTTGTTTTACAGACGGAGACAGATGCTGTGTGTGTCTTACAGACTGGAGACAGATTGCTGTGTTGTTTTACAGACTGGAGACAGATTGCTGTGTTGTCTTACAGACTGGAGACAGATTGCTGTGTGTTGTCTTACAGACTGGAGACAGATTGCTGTGTGTTGTCTTACAGACTGGAGACAGATTGCTGTGTTGTCTTACAGACTGGAGACAGATTGCTGTGTTGTCTTACAGACTGGAGACAGATTGCTGTGTTGTTTTACAGACTGGAGACAGATTGCTGTGTGTTGTCTTACAGACTGGAGACAGATTGCTGTGCTGTCTTACAGACTGGAGACAGATTGCTGTGTTGTTTTACAGACTGGAGACAGATTGCTGTGTGTTGTCTTACAGACTGGAGACAGATTGCTGTGTGTTGTCTTACAGACTGGAGACAGATTGCTGTGTTGTCTTACAGACTGGAGACAGATTGCTGTGTTGTTTTACAGACTGGAGACAGATTGCTGTGTGTTGTCTTACAGACTGGAGACAGATTGCTGTGTGTTTTCTTACAGACTGGAGACAGATTGCTGTGTTGTCTTACAGACTGGAGACAGATTGCTGTGTTGTTTTACAGACTGGAGACAGATTGCTGTGTGTTGTCTTACAGACTGGAGACAGATTGCTGTGTGTTGTCTTACAGACTGGAGACAGATTGCTGTGTTGTCTTACAGACTGGAGACAGATTGCTGTGTTGTCTTACAGACTGGAGACAGATTGCTGTGTGTTGTTTTACAGACTGGAGACAGATTGCTGTGCTGTCTTACAGACTGGAGACAGATTGCTGTGTTGTCTTACAGACTGGAGACAGATTGCTGTGTTGTTTTACAGACTGGAGACAGATTGCTGTGTGTTGTCTTACAGACTGGAGACAGATTGCTGTGCTGTCTTACAGACTGGAGACAGATTGCTGTGTTGTTTTACAGACTGGAGACAGATTGCTGTGTGTTCTGTTGCCTAACTTTCAGTCAACCTAACGACAGGCTGAGAGCTGGAGCTGAGGCGGGTTTTAAACCTCCTGACAAACCGTTACACCGCGCCCACCTGTCAATCAGGTCAGCTACACGCCTTATTGTGAATAACTCTTATCCTTCATCAAATCAAAACTGATGAGTCATCAAAACATTCACCCCCCGTACAGTGTGTGTCCATCCAGACATGAGCTAATCACACCTATTTGGTTTTTTGAACCAGGCTGTAAACATGTTCATCTCTGCTGTAAAAACAGGCTTTTTAGAATGGGTGTGTATGTGACTTCCTGTGCTTCTGCAGCCAGCCTCTAGTGGACACTCCAGGAACTGCAGGATTTTGATCTCTAACATCAGCTTCATTTTTTAACACTTGAGGTTTCTGCTTGGTGTAACAGATCAGACAGATCAGAATATTTTGAGTGAACTGGGCCCTTTATTGTGAAAGAAAACAGGAAGAGGACTTTCAACAGAGGAAAATGTTTACTTTGGATTTCAACAGGGGCAGAAATAACCACATTATTCGATCTCTGATGATCTCAGGTGTTCTCAGGTGATCTCAGATGATCTCAGGTGTTCTCAGATGATCTCTGATGACCTCAGGTGTTCTCAGGTGATCTCAGATGATCTCAGATGATCTCAGGTGTTCTCAGGTGATCTCAGGTGTTCTCAGATGATCTCAGGTGATCTCAGGTGGTCTCAGGTGATCTCAGGTGATCTCAGGTGTTCTCAAGCACTATTTTTGTTCTGTCTAGTAATAAAGAGAATATCTCAAAAACCTGCTGCAGGTGAGTCAGTCATTCAGAAACCAACATGTATACAAAACTAAGGTCGGGTTTATCACTTTTTGTCGTTACATATTAAAAACATTGTGAGATCTTTTAAAGGGACAGTACACCCTCTGTCTGAAAGAAACCAACCAGCTGATCGGTGCACTTTGGGTCTTTGGACAGACCGAGGCTAACAGTTAGCGCCTGTTTTCAGTCTTTATGCTAAACTAATCTGACTGGGAATCAGAAGGATTATGTTATCATGTTATTCATTTGTGAAAGTCTCCGACCACGGAAAAAGGTTCTTCTGTTTTCTGCGTCTGCTGCCTGACTCCAGCCTGTCACACTCGTCTCCACAACGATGTTTCTTCATCTGGCGGGAGTCAGAGAAGCCACGCCCACAGCCATCGCAGGTGTACAGCTTCACCCCGGTGTGGATCTGCATGTGAGACTTGAGCTGGTTGGACTGCCTGAACTTCTTGCTGCACACAGTGCACTCGTAGGGTTTCTCTCCGGTGTGGACCAGGCGGTGGCGGTGGAAGTTCTGAGATGTCCTGAACTCTTTTCCACACTCGTCACACCTGTGCGGTTTGATTCCCGTGTGCAGGAGCTCGTGCTGCTTCAGCTGCGTCATGAGCAAGAAGCCTTTCTGGCAGACGCCGCAGACGTACGGGCGGTCGCCGCTGTGCTGCCTCATGTGGTACAGGTACAGGTGTCGCAGGTGGAACGACTTCCCGCAGGTGTCACAGGTGAACTCTTTGTTCTCAGCGTGGCTCTTTTCGTGTGTCTTCAGCACCGTCACGGTACTGAAGGTCTTCAGACAGGTGTCACAGCTGAACGGTTTCACCACGGCCGCCCTCCGTCTCACCGCACGCTCTCGAACCTTTTCATAGTGGACAAGCCGCTGGTGCTTCTGCAGCTGACAGTTATAGAAAAACGTCTTCCCACAGAGGTCGCACATGAACGTCTTCTCCACGCCGTGCACCTGCATGTGGGTCTTCAACGCCCAGGTACCCGTGAAGCGCTCTCCACATTTATCACACCTGAGGCAAGACGGGAGGGGGGGCAGAGAAGAAAAACATCAAGACTGTGTAGACAACAAGAGTGTTCTTAAGGTAATGATGTAGGACAGGTGTGTTATCAGATTAATGATGTAGGACAGGTGTGTTATCATGTAGGACAGGTGAGTTATCGGATTAATGATGTAGGACAGGTGTGTTATCAGATTAATGATGTAGGACAGGTGATGTAGGACAGGTGTGTTATCATGTAGGACAGGTGAGTTATCGGATTAATGATGTAGGACAGGTGATGTAGGACAGGTGAGTTATCGGATTAATGATGTAGGACAGGTTATGTAGGACAGGTGTGTAATCAGATTAATGATGTAGGACAGGTGATGTAGGACAGGTGTGTTATCATGTAGGACAGGTGAGTTATCGGATTAATGATGTAGGACAGGTGTGTTATCAGATTAATGATGTAGGACAGGTGTGTTATCAGATTAATGATGTAGGACAGGTGTGTTATCATGTAGGACAGGTGAGTTATCGGATTAATGATGTAGGACAGGTGTGTTATCAGATTAATGATGTAGGACAGGTGATGTAGGACAGGTGTGTTATCATGTAGGACAGGTGAGTTATCGGATTAATGATGTAGGACAGGTGAGTTATCGGATTAATGATGTAGGACAGGTTATGTAGGACAGGTGTGTAATCAGATTAATGATGTAGGACAGGTGATGTAGGACAGGTGTGTTATCATGTAGGACAGGTGAGTTATCGGATTAATGATGTAGGACAGGTGATGTAGGACAGGTGAGTTCTCGGATTAATGATGTAGGACAGGTTATGTAGGACAGGTGTGTAATCAGATTAATGATGTAGGACAGGTGTTTTATCAGATTAATGATGTAGGACAGGTGATGTAAGACAGGTGTCTTATCAGATCAATGATGTAGGACAGGTGTGTAATCAGATTAATGATGTAAGACAGGTGTCTTATCAGATCAATGATGTAGGACAGGTGAGTTATCAGATTAATGATGTAGGACAGGTGAGTTATCAGATTAATGATGTAACACAGGTGAGTTATCAGATCAATGATGTAGGACAGGTTATGTAGGACAGGTGTGTTATCATGTAGGACAGGTGAGTTATCAGATTAATGATGTAGGACAGGTGTGTTATCAGATCAATGATGTAGGACAGGTGATGTAGGACAGGTGAGTTATCAGATCAATGATTTATGAAAGGTGAGTTATCAGATCAATGATGTAGGACAGGTGTGTTATCAGATTAATGATGTAGGACAGATGTGTTATCAGATTAATGATGTAGGACAGGTGTGTTATCAGATTAATGATGTAGGACAGATGTGTTATCAGATTAATGATGTAGGACAGATGTGTTATCAGATTAATGATGTAGGACAGGTGAGTTATCAGATTAATGATGTAGGACAGGTGTGTTATCAGATTAATGATGTAGGACAGATGTGTTATCAGATTAATGATGTAGGACAGGTGTGTTATCAGATTAATGATGTAGGACAGATGTGTTATCAGATTAATGATGTAGGACAGATGTGTTATCAGATTAATGATGTAGGACAGATGTGTTATCAGATTAATGATGTAGGACAGATGTGTTATCAGATGAATGATGTAGGACAGGTGTGTTATCAGATTAATGATGTAGGACAGATGTGTTATCAGATTAATGATGTAGGACAGGTGAGTTATCAGATGAATGATGTAGGACAGGTTATGTAGGACAGGTGAGTTATCAGATCAATGATTTATGAAAGGTGTGTTATCAGATTAATGATGTAGGACAGGTGATGTAGGACAGGTGTGTTATCATGTAGGACAGGTGAGTTATCGGATTAATGATGTAGGACAGGTTATGTAGGACAGGTGTGTTATCAGATTAATGATGTAGGACAGGTGAGTTATCAGATGAATGATGTAGGACAGGTTATGTAGGACAGGTGAGTTATCAGATCAATGATTTATGAAAGGTGTGTTATCAGATTAATGATGTAGGACAGGTGATGTAGGACAGGTGTGTTATCATGTAGGACAGGTGAGTTATCGGATTAATGATGTAGGACAGGTGTGTTATCAGATTAATGATGTAGGACAGGTGTGTTATCAGATTAATGATGTAGGACAGGTGTGTTATCATGTAGGACAGGTGAGTTATCGGATTAATGATGTAGGACAGGTGTGTTATCAGATTAATGATGTAGGACAGGTGATGTAGGACAGGTGTGTTATCATGTAGGACAGGTGAGTTATCGGATTAATGATGTAGGACAGGTGATGTAGGACAGGTGAGTTATCGGATTAATGATGTAGGACAGGTTATGTAGGACAGGTGTGTAATCAGATTAATGATGTAGGACAGGTGATGTAGGACAGGTGTGTTATCATGTAGGACAGGTGAGTTATCGGATTAATGATGTAGGACAGGTGTTTTATCAGATTAATGATGTAGGACAGGTGATGTAGGACAGGTGAGTTATCGGATTAATGATGTAGGACAGGTTATGTAGGACAGGTGTGTAATCAGATTAATGATGTAGGACAGGTGTTTTATCAGATTAATGATGTAGGACAGGTGATGTAAGACAGGTGTCTTATCAGATCAATGATGTAGGACAGGTGTGTAATCAGATTAATGATGTAAGACAGGTGTCTTATCAGATCAATGATGTAGGACAGGTGAGTTATCAGATTAATGATGTAGGACAGGTTATGTAGGACAGGTGTGTAATCAGATTAATGATGTAGGACAGGTGATGTAGGACAGGTGTGTTATCATGTAGGACAGGTGAGTTATCGGATTAATGATGTAGGACAGGTGTGTTATCAGATTAATGATGTAGGACAGGTGAGTTATCGGATTAATGATGTAGGACAGGTGTGTTATCAGATTAATGATGTAGGACAGGTGTGTTATCATGTAGGACAGGTGAGTTATCGGATTAATGATGTAGGACAGGTGTGTTATCAGATTAATGATGTAGGACAGGTGATGTAGGACAGGTGTGTTATCATGTAGGACAGGTGAGTTATCGGATTAATGATGTAGGACAGGTGATGTAGGACAGGTGAGTTATCGGATTAATGATGTAGGACAGGTTATGTAGGACAGGTGTGTAATCAGATTAATGATGTAGGACAGGTGTGTTATCATGTAGGACAGGTGAGTTATCGGATTAATGATGTAGGACAGGTGTTTTATCAGATTAATGATGTAGGACAGGTGATGTAGGACAGGTGAGTTATCGGATTAATGATGTAGGACAGGTTATGTAGGACAGGTGTGTAATCAGATTAATGATGTAGGACAGGTGTTTTATCAGATTAATGATGTAGGACAGGTGATGTAAGACAGGTGTCTTATCAGATCAATGATGTAGGACAGGTGTGTAATCAGATTAATGATGTAAGACAGGTGTCTTATCAGATCAATGATGTAGGACAGGTGAGTTATCAGATTAATGATGTAGGACAGGTGAGTTATCAGATTAATGATGTAACACAGGTGAGTTATCAGATCAATGATGTAGGACAGGTTATGTAGGACAGGTGTGTTATCATGTAGGACAGGTGAGTTATCAGATTAATGATGTAGGACAGGTGTGTTATCAGATCAATGATGTAGGACAGGTGATGTAGGACAGGTGAGTTATCAGATCAATGATTTATGAAAGGTGAGTTATCAGATCAATGATGTAGGACAGATGTGTTATCAGATTAATGATGTAGGACAGGTGTGTTATCAGATTAATGATGTAGGACAGATGTGTTATCAGATTAATGATGTAGGACAGGTGAGTTATCAGATTAATGATGTAGGACAGGTGAGTTATCAGATGAATGATGTAGGACAGGTTATGTAGGACAGGTGAGTTATCATGTAGGACAGGTGAGTTATCAGATTAATGATGTAGGACAGGTGTGTTATCAGATCAATGATGTAGGACAGGTGATGTAGGACAGGTGAGTTATCAGATCAATGATTTATGAAAGGTGAGTTATCAGATCAATGATGTAGGACAGATGTGTTATCAGATTAATGATGTAGGACAGGTGTGTTATCAGATTAATGATGTAGGACAGGTGTGTTATCAGATTAATGATGTAGGACAGATGTGTTATCAGATTAATGATGTAGGACAGATGTGTTATCAGATTAATGATGTAGGACAGGTGTGTTATCATGTAGGACAGGTGAGTTATCAGATTAATGATGTAGGACAGGTGTGTTATCAGATCAATGATGTAGGACAGGTGATGTAGGACAGGTGAGTTATCAGATCAATGATTTATGAAAGGTGAGTTATCAGATCAATGATGTAGGACAGATGTGTTATCAGATTAATGATGTAGGACAGGTGTGTTATCAGATTAATGATGTAGGACAGGTGTGTTATCAGATTAATGATGTAGGACAGATGTGTTATCAGATTAATGATGTAGGACAGGTGTGTTATCAGATTAATGATGTAGGACAGATGTGTTATCAGATTAATGATGTAGGACAGATGTGTTATCAGATTAATGATGTAGGACAGGTTATGTAGGACAGGTGAGTTATCAGATCAATGATTTATGAAAGGTGAGTTATCAGATTAATGATGTAGGACAGGTGAGTTATCAGATGAATGATGTAGGACAGGTTATGTAGGACAGGTGTGTTATCAGATTAATGATGTAGGACAGATGTGTTATCAGATTAATGATGTAGGACAGGTGAGTTATCAGATGAATGATGTAGGACAGGTTATGTAGGACAGGTGAGTTATCAGATCAATGATTTATGAAAGGTGAGTTATCAGATTAATGATGTAGGACAGGTGAGTTATCAGATGAATGATGTAGGACAGGTTATGTAGGACAGGTGTGTTATCAGATTAATGATGTAGGACAGATGTGTTATCAGATTAATGATAAGGCGTAGTAGTTACACAGGTGACCTACTCGGTTACCTGTATGGTTTCTCTCCGTTATGGAGACGCAGGTGTCTCTGGAAGTTGTACTTGAGGCTGAAGCTCAGGCCGCAGGTCTGACACATGAAGGGTTTCTCTCCTGAGTGGACGAGTCGGTGCTGCAGCAGACCCATCTTACACTTGAAGGCTTTGTCACACTCGCTGCACTTGTGCGGCCGCTCGTCAGAGTGCGACCTCTGGTGGACGCGCAGGTTTCCAGCTGTGGAGAAGTTCTTCCCGCAGGTGGGGCAGCGGTACGGCCTGGCGCCGGTGTGGATGGTCTGGTGCTCTTGGAGGCTCTTCTTCCTGGTGAAGCCTTTCCCACAGGCGCCACATGTGAAGGGCTTCACCTGGGCGTGGGACACCTGGTGGTACCTGAGGGAGCCGGCGGACATGAAGCTGCGCTCGCACACGTTACACTTCAGAGGCGATTTCTGCAGCCGGTGAGACGCCTGATGGACCCGGAGCTGTCGCAGTCGATCGAACTTCCTGTCACACTGGTCGCAGCGCAGCAGGCGGTCGGGGTCGCTCTCCCGGGCCTCACTCAGCTGGTGGACCAGCAGGTGGCGCTGCAAGCTTGAAGCTTTAAAGAAACCTCTGTCACAGGAGCTGCAGGGGAATGGTTTGACATGACTGGAAACGTGTTTCCTCAGCTGGTGATTCTGATGGAAACCTTTGTTACAGAGCTCACAGAAGAACCTCTTCTCTTTATACAGCTCCCTCCTCCTCCTCCTCTGCTGCTCCTTCAGCTGCTCCTCCACAATCTCCTCCACAATCTCAATCCCTGTCTGCTCCTCTCTCTGCAGCCCCGTCTGCTCCTCACTCTGCAGCCCCGTCTGCTCCTCTCTCTGCAGCCCCGTCTGCTCCTCTCTCTGCAGCCCCGTCTGCTCCTCACTCTGCAGCCCCGTCTGCTCCTCACTCTGCAGCCCCGTCTGCTCCTCACTCTGCAGCCCCGTCTGCTCCTCTCTCTGCAGCCCCGTCTGCTCCTCACTCTGCAGCCCCGTCTGCTCCTCACTCTGCTCCTCCTCCAAAGCTTGAGAAAGTAAATATGAAACATTCAGAGAGACCAGGCGCAACTAAGTCTTCTTACACACCTGTCTCACCTGTCCGTTACCTGTCTCATCTGTCCGTTACCTGTCTCATCTGTCCGTTACCTGTCTCACCTGTCTGTTACCTGTCTCATCTGTCCGTTACCTGTCTCACCTGTCTGTTACCTGTCTCAACAGTCCGTTACCTGTCTCACCAGTCCGTTACCTGTCTCATTTGTATGTTACCTGTCTCACCTGTCTGTTACCTGTCTCACCTGTCTGTTACCTGTCTCACCTGGGTGTCTCTCAGGTGATGTCTCTCCCAAACAGTCCGTCTTCATTGTTTTCTGAAATGTGAAGAGAGATTGGATGGTCATCAGTGTTTCTTTGTCAGACATTAATCAAGAATTTATTGTTCATGGATTTATGAATGATTAGTTAATGATTAGTTAATGGTTTGTTATTGGTTAGTTAATGATTAGTTAATGGTTTGTTATTGGTTAGTTAATGATTAGTTAATGTTAGTTAATGATTAGTTAATGGTTAGTTAATGATTAGTTATTGGTTAGTTAATGATTAGTTAATGTTAGTTAATGGTTAGTTAATGGTTTGTTATTGGTTAGTTAATGATTAGTTAATGTTAGTTAATGGTTAGTTAATGGTTAGTTAATGATTAGTTAATGTTAGTTAATGGTTAGTTAATGATTAGTTATTGGTTAGTTAATGATTAGTTGATGGTTAGTTAATGGTTTGTTATTGGTTAGTTAATGATTAGTTAATGGTTTGTTATTGGTTAGTTAATGATTAGTTAATGTTAGTTAATGGTTAGTTAATGATTAGTTAATGATTAGTTATTGGTTAGTTAATGGTTAGTTAATGATTAGTTAATGTTAGTTAATGGTTAGTTAATGGTTAGTTAATGTTAGTTAATGGTTTGTTATTGGTTAGTTAATGATTAGTTAATGTTAGTTAATGGTTAGTTAATGTTAGTTAATGTTAGTTAATGGTTAGTTAATGATTAGTTAATGTTAGTTAATGGTTAGTTAATGATTAGTTATTGGTTAGTTAATGATTAGTTGATGGTTAGTTAATGGTTAGTTAATGATTAGTTAATGTTAGTTAATGGTTAGTTAATGTTAGTTAATGGTTAGTTAATGATTAGTTAATGTTAGTTAATGATTAGTTATTGGTTAGTTAATGATTAGTTGATGGTTAGTTAATGATTAGTTATTGGTTAGTTAATGATTAGTTAATGTTAGTTAATGGTTAGTTAATGATTAGTTGATGGTTAGTTGATAATGAGTTAACTCTTGATTGATCATTAATTAAATATTATAAAATACAGCTTTCTACAAATCAGTCTCAAAAACAAAGCCACCCTAACCCGATCAATGAAATACTTACATCATCAGCCAGTTCTTCTTCTGTGGTTGGCGTGTCTTCTTGGCCTGACGTCTCTCTGTTTGGCTGATTATTAGCTACAGGAAGTGATGTCATGGAGGGTTGTTTATTCCGATGCGCATCAGCTGCAGGTTTAGCATTAGTGACGGGACAGCTCTGGCCTGTGATTGGTCCTTTCAGAAGATGGCTGATGGTGACCAGAGGTACCTCAGATTTTCCTCTGCTTCCACTTGACTTGGCTGAGTTGAGCATGGCGACGGCAGGTGTAGCAGGGTTGCCACCTGGTGGATTGATGTCCAGGGAGTGGGCGGGGCCAACTAAAGAAAAGGTAAATGGAAAACACAAACACGATATAACCCCTTTATCAAAGTGAAGCTTCAAAATAAAAGTTCCAGATTTTGTTTGAAATCTAAAATTGAATCAGATTCTAAATTAATCTCAGTTACAGGTGCTCACCTGTGTTTCTCTCTGCTGTAGGTGCTCACCTGTGTTCCTCTCTGCTGTAGGTGTTCACCTGTGTTTCTCTCTGCTGTAGGTGCTCACCTGTGTTTATCTCTGCAGTAGGTGTTCACCTGTGTTTATCTCTGCAGTAGGTGTTCACCTGTGTTCAGTGTGTTGTGTGTGTTCACCTGTGTTCACCTGTGTTCAGTGTGTTGTCTGTGTTTACCTGCGTTCAGTGTGTTGTTTGTGTTAACCTGTGGATACAAATGTAACTCTCCGACCGCCAGCCAATCAGAAGACAGTAGTTATGTGACAATGTAATGGAGTAATCATTTTGTACTAACGTCACATTTCTATTTAAGACACCTGTATTAAAGATGTGTTCAGGTTCAGCAGGATATTTGAGACTTACCTGAAGGTTTGGTTTTAGACTGCGTGCTGGTCTTGGCCTTGAGCTCAGACTCCAGGTGTTCCACTGTATCCCTCCGCAGGCTGCTGTAAAGCTCTTTGAACACTCTGCAGATCTGACGGGCAGCTTCTCTGCTCATGGCGTTCAAGACGGTGGAGAGTCGGGCCTGCACAGGAAACGCATCATCATCTTTTTGTTTTTCCTTAAAAAGAAGGAAGCTCGCTGCTAACTGTCTGAGACTTCTCTCAGGACATCCGACCATTTAAGAACTAAACCAACTGGACCAGGCCTAGGACCAGGAATAGGACCAGGACCAGGAATAGGACCAGGAATAGGACCAGGAATAGGAACAGGACCAGGCCTAGGACCAGGACCAGGAATAGGACCAGGAATAGGACCAGGACCAGGCCTAGGACCAGGAATAGGACCAGGAATAGGACCAGGACCAGGCCTAGGACCAGGACTTGGACCAGGACTAGGACCAGGAATAGGACCAGGAATAGGACCAGGACTAGGACCAGGACTAGGACCAGGACTAGGACCAGGAATAGGACCAGGCCTAGGACCAGGAATAGGACCAGGAATAGGACCAGGACCAGGAATAGGACCAGGAATAGGAACAGGAGCAGGCCTAGGACCAGGACCAGGAATAGGACCAGGAATAGGACCAGGAATAGGACCAGGACCAGGACCAGGACTTGGACCAGGACTAGGACCAGGACCAGGAATAGGACCAGGAATAGGACCAGGACCAGGACCAGGAATAGGACCAGGACCAGGCCTAGGACCAGGAATAGGACCAGGAATAGGACCAGGACCAGGCCTAGGACCAGGACTTGGACCAGGACTAGGACCAGGAATAGGACCAGGAATAGGACCAGGACTAGGACCAGGAATAGGACCAGGACTAGGACCAGGAATAGGACCAGGCCTAGGACCAGAACCAGGAATAGGACCAGGAATAGGACCAGGCCTAGGACCAGGAATAAGACCAGGCCTAGGACCAGGAATAGGGCCAGGAATAGGATCAGGACCAGGACCAGGACCAGTTTTGTTTTATTACGATGTTTTCTCAGCTGATTGGTGTGCGTGTGCTCCAAGCCGAGATTTCAGATCATCAAGAGCAGCTTCATCAGTCGCTCCTAGATCTAGGCTGGTTACCAAGGCGACCAGGTGTTCGCCATCAGAGCCCCTACGCTCTGGAATAACTGAAGACATTAGGCTGGCCCACTCTGTAAACATCTTCATAACTTCATTCTTCTTTTCAACTGTGACTCACTTTTAACGTAGAGTTAAGAACATAGAGTGAAGAACGTAGAGTTAGGAACATAGAGTTAAGAACATAGAGTGAAGAACGTAGAGTTAGGAACGTAGAGTTAAGAACATAGAGTGAAGAACATAGAGTTAGGAACATAGAGTGAAGAACATAGAGTTAGGAACATAGAGTGAAGAACATAGAGTTAAGAACATAGAGTGAAGAACATAGAGTGAAGAACATAGAGTTAGGAACATAGAGTTAGGAACATAGAGTGAAGAATGTAGAGTTAGGAACATAGAGTGAAGAACATAGAGTGAAGAACGTAGAGTTAAGAACATAGAGTGAAGAACATAGAGTTAGGAACATAGAGTTAAGAACATAAAGTGAAGAACGTAGAGTTAGGAACATAGAGTTAAGAATGTAGAGTTAGGAACATAGAGTTAAGAACATAGAGTTAAGAATGTAGAGTGAAGAACGTAGAGTGAAGAACACAGAGTGAAGAACGTAGAGTGAAGAACACAGAGTTAAGAACGTAGAGTGAAGAACGTAGAGTTAGGAACGTAGAGTTAGGAACGTAGAGTTAGGAACATAGAGTTAGGAACATAGAGTTAGGAACGTAGAGTTAGGAACATAGAGTGAAGAACGTAGAGTTAGGAACGTAGAGTTAAGAACGTAGAGTGAAGAACGTAGAGTGAAGAACGTAGAGTGAAGAACATAGAGTTAAGAACGTAGAGTGAAGAACTTAGAGTGAAGAACGTAGAGTGAAGAACGTAGAGTGAAGAACACAGAGTGAAGAACGTAGAGTTAGGAACATAGAGTGAAGAATGTAGAGTTAGGAACATAGAGTGAAGAACGTAGAGTTAGGAACATAGAGTGAAGAACGTAGAGTTAGGAACATAGAGTGAAGAACGTAGAGTTAGGAACATAGAGTGAAGAACATACAGTGAAGAACATAGAGTGAAGAACACACAGTGAAGAACGTAGAGTTAAGAACATATAGTTAAGAATGTAGAGTGAAGAGTTAGGAACATAGAGTAAAGAACGTGGAGTGAAGAACGTAGAGTGAAGAACACAGAGTTAAGAACGTAGAGTGAAGAACACAGAGTTAAGAACGTAGAGTGAAGAACGTAGAGTTAGGAACGTAGAGCTAGGAACATAGAGTGAAGAACGTAGAGTTAGGAACGTAGAGTTAGGAACATAGAGTGAAGAACATAGAGTTAAGAACATAGAGTTAAGAACGTAGAGTGAAAACGTAGAGTGAAGAACGTAGAGTTAAGAACATAGAGTTAAGAACGTAGAGTTAGGAACACAGAGTCAAGAACGTAGAGTGAAGAACGCAGAGTGAAGAACGTAGAGTGAAGAACACAGAGTTAAGAACGTAGAGTGAAGAACGTAGAGTGAAGAACGTAGAGTGAAGAACGTAGAGTTAGGAACGTAGAGTTAGGAACATAGAGTGAAGAACATAGAGTTAAGAACATAGAGTTAAGAACGTAGAGTGAAAACGTAGAGTGAAGAACGTAGAGTTAGGAACGTAGAGTGAAGAACGTAGAGTTAGGAACGTAGAGTTAGGAACGTAGAGTTAGGAACGTAGAGCTAGGAACATAGAGTGAAGAACGTAGAGTTAGGAACGTAGAGTTAGGAACATAGAGTGAAGAACATAGAGTTAAGAACATAGAGTTAAGAACGTAGAGTGAAAACGTAGAGTGAAGAACGTAGAGTTAAGAACATAGAGTTAAGAACGTAGAGTTAGGAACACAGAGTCAAGAACGTAGAGTGAAGAACGCAGAGTGAAGAACGTAGAGTGAAGAACACAGAGTTAAGAACGTAGAGTGAAGAACGTAGAGTGAAGAACGTAGAGTGAAGAACGTAGCGTTAGGAACGTAGCGTTAGGAACGTAGCGTTAGGAACGTAGAGTTAAGAACGTAGAGTGAAGAACGTAGAGTTAGGAACGTAGAGTGAAGAACGTAGAGTTAGGAACATAGAGTGAAGAACGTAGAGTTAAGAACATAGAGTGAAGAACGTAGAGTTAAGAACGTAGAGTGAAGAACGTAGAGTTAGGAACGTAGAGTTAGGAACGTAGAGTTAGGAACGTAGAGTTAGGAACATAGAGTGAAGAACGTAGAGTTAAGAACATAGAGTTAAGAACATAGAGTGAAGAACGTAGAGTTAAGAACGTAGAGTTAGGAACACAGAGTGAAGAACGTAGAGTGAAGAACGTAGAGTGAAGAACACAGAGTTAAGAACGTAGAGTGAAGAACGTAGAGTGAAGAACGTAGAGTTAGGAACGTAAAGTTAGGAACGTAGCGTTAGGAACGTAGAGTGAAGAACGTAGAGTGAAGAACGTAGAGTGAAGAACGTAGAGTTAGGAACGTAGCGTTAGGAACGTAGAGTGAAGAACGTAGAGTTAAGAACGTAGAGTGAAGAACGTAGAGTTAGGAACGTAGAGTGAAGAACGTAGAGTTAGGAACATAGAGTGAAGAACGTAGAGTTAAGAACGTAGAGTGAAGAACGTAGAGTTAGGAACGTAGAGTTAGGAACGTAGAGTTAGGAACATAGAGTGAAGAACGTAGAGTTAAGAACATAGAGTTAAGAACGTAGAGTGAAAACGTAGAGTGAAGAACGTAGAGTTAAGAACATAGAGTGAAGAACGTAGAGTTAAGAACGTAGAGTGAAGAATGTAGAGTTAGGAACATAGAGTGAAGAACGTAGAGTTAGGAACATAGAGTGAAGAATGTAGAGTTAGGAACATAGAGTGAAGAACGTAGAGTGAAGAAGGTAGAATGAAGAACATAGAGTTAAGAACGTAGAGTTAGGAACATAGAGTGAAGAATGTAGAGTTAGGAACATAGAGTGAAGAACGTAGAGTTAGGAACATAGAGTGAAGAACGTAGAATGAAGAACATAGAGTTAAGAACGTAGAGTTAGGAACATAGAGTGAAGAACGTAGAGTGAAGAATGTAGAGTTAGGAACATAGAGTGAAGAACGTAGAGTTAGGAACATAGAGTGAAGAATGTAGAGTTAGGAACATAGAGTGAAGAACGTAGAGTGAAGAACGTAGAGTTAGGAACATAGAGTGAAGAACGTAGAGTTAAGAACACAATTTAACGATGTTCTCAAACACATCAAAACTCATCTCCTCACCCGCTCCTGGTCCGGGTCCTGGTCCTGGTGCGTCTGCCCCTCGTCCCGTTTTGCCCATTCTTGCTGCTCCCGGTCCTTCAGGAGGACGGACACGGCGGACTGAGCCGCCTCCTCCAGGATCCGCTCGGTCAGACGGCGGAAGGTGTCGGTGTGCTGCATCCCGGAGCTGAGGGTTCAGACCCGGTGGTCCGGTGTGAGTCCGGCTGTGAAGAACGGGTTCAGACCCGGTGGTCCGGTGTGAGTCCGGCTGTGAAGAAAGGGTTCAGACCCGGTGGTCCGGTGTAAGTCCGGTATGGGTCCAGTTTACGGTCCAGTCTCGGTATCAAAGTGTATCTGATGGTAAAAAAGGTCGAACACAAACTGGAACTGTAAGTTTCTATCCTAACAAACCGGAAGTGTTCTGCTGTCAACATGGCGCTCTGTATACCTCCGGTTTACTAACCTTTCACAATAAGGTACCGAGGCGACTTCTCTTCATCATTAAACACATCACAGCTTCCATGACGTCACTAATCTGGTCCCTACTTGACGTCATGGAGCTGGTCGGCTGTTAGCAGTGTTAGTCTACAAAGTGTCGAAACGATCAGCAAGTTTTTGGGTTATTTTATTTTGAAGGCCTTTACCGGATATTATAATACTTCGGAATT